GATGTCTTTGGACCAATCACAAAATGATATATATCTCAATCATAATTCAAGATATTTAAAAGGAAAGTTTTGTTTGTTAAGAAAGAATATATTAAAAAAGTTTATTAAATTAAAATATTTATTGTTTTGACCAATAAGATTAAAATATTCATATTAACTGTCAAATAAGACAAATTCTTATGTTAAATTGTTAAAAAAATAGTTGATAGAAAAGTTCTAATTCTAAAATAACTTTTTAACCCATAGCTATAAATAGGGTACCTCTCCAAACCTTTTACATACTTCAGAAGCAAAAAACCCTAAAACAAATTTCAAGGATTAAACTTTTTGAAGATTTCTGATTAATGAGAAACAAATTAAACACCTTGTTATGTGGGATTTAAAGGCCCCCTCATGAGAGATTTGAAGACCCTATTAATAGGGAATAAATTGAAAACCTTTTTTTTTTTTTTTGATCAGCAAACAAATAACTTTATTAAATGGAGCACAAGGGGTACTCTTATCCTTATACAAATTAATTCGTTCTTTCATAATACTAACAGTAATAGCAGTGAAACAAAAACCAAACTCATAACCTCTTGAATCAAAAGCGTAAATCAAAATAAATAGCTCTAAACTTCCATCATGACTAAACCTTATATTGTTGATGAAACAATTTCAAACACCTCTTGTGCCTTTTTATTGTTGTTGCACAGTCCCCCGGATTGAATTGCCACTGGAAATATGAGAAAGCACAACTAGCCACATTCATCTTAACCCAGTAAAAAGACTTGGCTTGAATCATTTCCAACAATTGCTCCTTAAACTCCCCTCCCCTCCCCTCCAGTAAAAAGACTTGGCTTGAATCATTTCCAACAATTGCTCCTTAAACTCCCCTCCCTTCCCCTCCCCTCCCAAACACTCTAACATTCCTCCAAAACCATATACCACCCCACCACAAGGAAAATAGATGCATTGACCTCTTTACCCACTATCCTACCCAAGCAGCATTTAAATAATATAGCCACTCCCTGCACTGTATCCGGCAGCACCACATCCAAACCCCACCAATGAAACACCTTCACCCATATTAGCCAAGCTGCCTTACAAGTACAAAACAAATGATTTACTTCCTCTACCTCCTCCATACACAAACCACACATCAAACCATCCCCCTATAGAACTACCCCTCTTTTTTGCAAGTTCCATTTTGTAGGCAATCTATCAAGACACAATCTCCAACCAAAAAAACTCACTTTAGAAGGCACTAGCCTACACCAAATCCATTGAGAAAACTGGGTCTCCAATATACACTCCGGAGTAGCTAAAAAATCGTAAGCTTGCTTCACCTGATATTCTCCCTCTACATCATATTTCCATTTCCAACAATCTGCCACCCCCTCCTTAATTTGTATGCTTCTCAGCACTTCCCATAACTCTTGTTCCTCACTTTGCTCATGTCCTAGTCTCCCTCTTCTCCACTCAATATGCCATTCCCACATGTCCCCCTGCCTTTTCCCCATCTCCATAACCAGACCTTCTTTATCCCCCACTAGCTGAAACAACCTCGAACATAAATCCCTTAGGGATTTATCTCCTACCCAAATATCTCTCCAAAACCCCACTCGACTTCCATCCCCTACCTCCCACCTAAACCCCTTCACAAACATATCCCTTATCCTGAGTGACTTCCCCCCAACACTTATAATATCTTCCCAAATCTTCGACACTCTTGCCATTTGTATCATAGTAATATCCACCTCCCACCTACCTTCATAGTATTTCTCCCACACCACCCATTTCCATAAAACCTCCTTGCCATCACCTAACAACCTAAACCACCATTTTCCTAACAATGCCCAATTTCTCCTATGAAGATTCGTCACCCCTAAACCTCCTTTCACCTTGCCAACACAAAGAGAATCCCATTTCACCCAAGAAAACATTGTTAAGAGAGATTTCCAAAAGCTTTATTAAAAGGGAACTTGAAGAATGAAGATTGAAGAATGAAGAACAAGTGGAAAACGCAATAAAAAAGCGTTAATTACTGGTTTCACTAAAGGATTTTGATTTTGTTTGAGAATAAATCAACAAATACCCTTGTATAAGAAGTTAATATTAAAATATTCTATTTAAAAAGAAGAACTAAAGGATTTAAATTTTCAAAAATTGTAATTCACAAATTTTTATCAAATTTAAAATTTGACATATAAATTTTTAATAAAAGATTTTTTATTGTGTACCCTTATAAATTATTTGTAAAAGGCCAAAACAAATGTCCAAAACTTAAATTTGGGAAGCTTGGAATGTGGTGGGGTATTGTGGTGGTAATTACGGATGTGGTTAATAGTTACTTCCTCCATTCATTTTTGCTGCTCATTATTTCAAAATGAGAATTGTCTATATTGTACCATAAGAATACAAATTAAAATTAAAAGTGTAACAAATATATTTTTATAATAAATGTATATTAAAAAATAAAAATTGACTTTAATTTATCAACTATTTAATTAAATTTATTTATTTGACACCAACATCAAAATTAATCTCAACTTTTACTTATATATATATATATATATTTATGACTTAAGATACCCTCAATATGTCTTCTAAGGACACATGTTTAAAAAACTCTTTAAGATAATTGTCATTTTTTATTAGAATTCTAATTTATACCCTAAAGGCACATGTTAAATTTCATTAATTATAATATTTTAAATTAATTTTGCATAAATTTTCATATGAGATTCAATTAAAATAAAATATAAAATATAAAATATAAACTTAAAATAAAATAAAATATTTATAATTGAAACCTACAAAAATGTATGAATCTGATATAAAAAGTTGTATAAAATTAATTATAAATACTATAATTAATGAAATTTAACTTGTGCTTTAAGAGTATCTATTAGACAAATCCTTTTCTATTTTAAATTTATTCAAATTAATTGTCAATTTTTCATTTTTAAATATAAACAAATATTTTTTTTACTTTAATCCTATTATTATTCATTCACTTTAATTAATCATCTAATGAAAAATCCTTTTTTATCTTTTATTTTTTAAAGGATATTATAGATAAATATAAATATTATCAAAAAAAAATTTATTTTAGAGAAAAAATAAAAAAATAATAGTTATTTTGAGACAGAAAGTGTAGTCATAATTTGATTTTTTGATGACTTTTTAAATATAAATTTAAGATAAAAATTTAACAATTAATATAAATTATAACAATTAAAAAGTTCTTTTCCCCTATATGAAATTCTTATCAAGTATTTTTATTTAATCTATTTTTTTTCCAATTATGATTAGTATACTCCCTCCAATCAACTTTAATAAATCTAATTTCTTATTTGAGATGTTTAAATTTAACTATCTACTTTCTTTTTTAAAGATATTATTTAATATATTTATTCCTATTTTATTCTCATTTTAAAAGATAGTTATAGCATTCATTAAATAAGAAGTCTTATTTAAATAGCACTTAATTAAAGATAAATATGAAAATTTATCAATAAATTATTATGTCTCTATTTTATTGGATAAAAAAAAAGTCTATAAAAAATGAATAGAAAGTAATGTTAAATTTTCATATAGAATATATGTTTAAAGAAGTCAAAAAGTCAAATTAAATTTATTAAAAATAAAAAAATGGACTAGATATTAGGGTAATTTTATTTTTAAAATATTAATTTTATTTGATTTAGTTGTTAAAAATAGCTGAAAGCTAATAGAGTAGCTAATATTTATTATTTTTGTTTGATTTTAATAGATATAATTTTTAATTTATGATGCTCAAATTTTATTTTTTCACTTTTCCTTTGAAGATGTCATTTAATGCCTTTATTTTTATTTTATTGTTGTTTTAAAAATATAATTACAATATATGTTAAATAAAAAAATTTATTTAAATAGTAATTAATTAAGAGTGAATATAAAATTTTATTAATTAATTATAACATCTTTATTTTATTAGATAAAAAACTATGTTTATTAAAGTTAAACAAAAGAAATATTATTTTATAAATTAAAATAAATTTATAAACAAATATTTCTAAACACCTATTTAGGAAAAAGAGCTACAAACTACACCCTCCATTCACCTTTGATAAACTTAATTTTTTATTTAGGATGTTTAAATTTAGTTGTCTATTTTTTGTTTTTAACATGTTATTTAATATATTTATTTCTATTTTACCCTTGTAAGATAATTATAATAT